TTGGGGGGGGGTTGATGGACCAGGCTCTCCTGCATCATGGTGCTGGGGGCTTCTCTCACCGCAGCTACTCCCGCAATCACACCTACAACACCTACATCGGGAAGGGCTACATCATCCCCGGCATGGACCAGGGCCTGCAAGGGGTCTGCGTGGGAGAGAAGAGGCGGGTGGTCATCCCCCCACACCTGGCCTACGGGGAGAACGGAGCAGGTAAAGGGTAGCCCCACACAGTGCAGCCCCCCCGGCTGCAGCATCCCCCCCTCCTGCCCTGTGCATCCTCACACCGAGGGGCTGACATGGGGAAAACACCCAGGTGGGACCAGTTCCTCACCCCCAGGGGCCACCACCATCCCTAGGATTCTGGGTATTGGGTTGGAATGTTGTGGGCAGGGGAAAGGCTGGTGCCACCACATGGAGAGCCAGGGCTCCAAGGGATGGAGACACGACGGGGCACAGGAAAAAACAGGGAAAGGCTTTACCGGCCCCGCGGCGCTCACAGCTGCTCTCCCAGCACCTCTCCTCATCCTCTTCTTCCAGGGGACAAAATTCCTGGCTCAGCCGTGCTCATCTTCGACGTCCACATCATCGACTTCCACAACCCCGCGGACCCGGTGGAGATCGAGACCGTGTACCGTCCCGAGGGCTGCAACGTCACCACCCGCGACAGAGACTTCGTCCGCTACCACTACAACTGCTCCTTGCTGGATGGCACCAAGCTCTTCTCCTCGTGGGTGCCTTCCCTGGGCTTTCCTTCCCAGGGCCACATCCTGCCCGGCGCTGGCCACCGGAGCCACGCTGGGAGCATCAGCTCTTTGCAACCGGCAGCACCGGAGCATCGGCTGCGGGGCCATAGGGGCTGTGCTGGGGGGTGGAGAGTGCGGGGTTTGGGGGCACAGGGGGATGGATGGGGCTGGGTTTGGGGTGTTTGAGTGGAGGGTGAGGGATTCGGGGCATGGTGGGATGGAGGGTGCGGGATTTTGGGGCGTGGTGGGGCTGCCCATGGGGTTTGAGGGGTTTCCTCAGCCGCCTGCTCTTCTCTGTGCCTCCTGCAGCCACGACTACGAGAAGCCCCAGGAGGTGACTCTGGGGACCAACAAGGTGATCGAGGGGCTGAACAGTGGCCTCCTCAACATGTGTGCGGGGGAGAGGAGGGTGCTCATCATCCCCCCCCACCTGGGCCAAGGGGAGAGCGGAGGGAAGGGACCAGCGTGTTCG